TTCCTTTCTGTTCGCAAGAGAAAGAATTAGTGAGGTTTATGGCACAAGAGTAAATAATTGGAAGGACCAAGGATATTTAAGTAAAATTAATACCCCTACGCATAATCTAAGTAGCGGAAGGTGATTCTCATTTTCAGGAGAAATTCTATTTCCACATACCATTTTATCTATGTGCAAATCATATCTTAGTTCACACACTTAATGAATTTGAAAAAAATATATATTTTACTCAGTACACAACCCTTTATACCAAAAATATCCTATTCTTCATCCTTCCACCACTAACCCTAATCTCTAACTTTAACTAGTCACTGTCGCCCAATCTTAAATTCATACCCCTACTGAGACGATCAAGGAAGGAGGCTGGCAGTTATGCTTACAGTTTTGGTCCCATTTCTCAAGTCCGTTCCCCACACCTCCCACATGCATTTCTCTCTCTCTCTCTCTCTCTTTCTCTCTCTCTCTCTCTCTCTCTCTAATCTTTTTCTATGGCTCACATTGGAATCACACCCTCACATGTATCCCTGCTATTTTAAAACATAGTGCAATCCCACTTTCTCAGTTTGAATACATTATATTGATCCCTTTTTAAATTTAATTTTAATTAAAAAAAATGCACATGAAATATCTATAAACAATATTAAGAAGAACTTGAGCTTGAGTTACAGGTGGAGCTAAAAAACCGTCAGATAAGTAGAAGTAGGAGTAAAAGGAGAGAGTAAAGATACAGAGATGATCCATCCCCTGCAAACAAACTCACATGAAGTGAAGGAGAGGAGATGACTAACCAAACCAAACTACTGACAAATTTAATTTTTGGGTGGCTTGAAAATTAGGGTTTTGGATGTGAAAGATAAAAGGATATTTTGGTATTTTTATTTTAGGATAAAAATGTAATTGATTTTATTTTTTCATTAAATGTGTGAAGTGAGAGAACTTAGTGTGTGAAAATAAAATTTCTCCATTTTCAGCTTATTTGTTCTAAAAAAAGGCTGCAATAAGCTGAAGCTGATTTTACTAAACTACAACAAACACACTGATTTAGCTTTTTCAAAAGTTAAAAGCCATAAGTTGGATAAAATAAGCTAGAACAAACACCCACATAAAAGTATGAGGGCACACTCATGTTAATAGTTAATTTTTTGAAATTTAACCTCTTTTGTATTATTGAAATGGGTATACTATGCAAACTAAAACTTATAAAATGTAGCACTTATCAAATTATTAAAATGGGTATTATTTTAGATTTAAAATTTCATTTTAAAGATTTGTCAAATAAGGAAATTGACTATGTAGTTTATTTTGAGATTGGTCCATATGTATCACTGATAATTGCAAATCCAACAACAAAAAATAATTTTAGGATAAACTAGGAATTGCTTAACGTTAGCGGTGACGTCATCTAATGGGTATTTATAAGGACCATGTCAGACCATCTCCAACAGTTCACCAAACTTGACATCAAATTTGAATTTTGGTGAAAAAGTTACTGTTTGGTGCTCCAACGATTACACCAAATCGGTATCAAATTGAGAATTCACCAAAAAATTCATCAAAGTGAGAACAGACAGCTTCTTTCACCATTTCACTATGCGTGACTGTTGGGGAGAGCAACCGGTCGACCTGTCGGTTGACCGGCCGGTTGACCAACCGGTCCACCGGTTCCCTTGCAAAAATTTTGGTTCAAACTGGTCAAAAGGTTCAAAGAGGTAAAAATATATATATATATATACCTTACCGGTTGACCGGCCGATCAACCCATCAGCTGCAGATGGAGACGAACGAACATATCTCCTTCATAATAATTCATCACCTCCAGTTCCGTACAGAGCCTCAAACATTGAAAGCGTAGAGATCGTCCCTTCACCATCATCGAACGAGCCAGATGAACCAACACCTAAATCTGTTGACCAGAATCAACGGCTCGCCTCTCTCGACGTCTTCTGAGGCCTCACTGTCGCTGTACGTGAGTGTTTATCTTAAATTTTCTTTACAACTCTTTCTGTTTGGTCACCAAGAATCTCTCTCGACAATTACTGATTGATTTCTTTCTCAAAGAAAAGAAAAGAAAAGTAGTAAACTTTAATATTTAGTTTGTTTGTGGACATGACAGTTGATGATTTTAAGTCCAGATTTTTTGATTTCATTTCTGATCAGTAATTCTTGGATCTTTGATCTGGAATGTGGGCTTACCAGTCGATCAACCAGTCGACCCACCGGTCGACCAACCGGTTGACCCATGGAAATTTGATGCACTGTTGGAGCAACTGATATCAAATTGAGAAAATGAGTCATTTTTTACTCACATTTGGTGAAAACAGAAGTTCACCGTTGGAGATGCTCTCAAGGAACCAATATAGCATTGTTGTAAATAAAGTGGAGAGATTCACTCAATTAATGGTGAGGTATAAGGAATTATTTTTCAGTCTATATGGTTACAATTTACAAATATAAAAAATTATATCAATTTGAAATCTAGAAAATAAATAGTTTATAATGAAAAGAAATAAATAAGGCAATACAATTTCTTTAATAAGAAATAAATAATCAATGCTCCAGTTGGTTGAAGTACAAGGGTTACTATTGCTAAAAAAAAATTATTAAAGACAAAATTTTCCTTTTCAATGACTAGTTAAAAGGCTTGTTATATTTTGGCAATGTTATATACCTTATATTAAATTTGGCACAAGCTCAATAAAGTTATCTAGAAATACTATTCACTTCCTAATTGTATTTCAAAAGAAAAATGATATGAAAATTTACTTTTTAGACTCATTTATTAAATTTAATGATGAGTAAGCAATATGATTAATTGATAATTAAACAAGATATAAGAAAAAGTGTTGCGTAAAATACCCTAATTGATTGTCACATAATTAGCCTTGAAAAATGAATCTAATTTTTAAACTTATATAGTAATGTGTATTTCAAAACAGCTCATCTTCCCTCAACAAAAATTCAAAAACCAACAATATATATATATTCCAAAATAATTCTAGAAATCAACAAATAACTAAACTAATTCCAAAAAAAAAGAAAATTTAGTTATAAACCCCCTTTACCTTCCTTTCATTGTTAAAAGGACTAAAAAAAAAATTATATTTTCTAAACCCCCTCATAATTATAAAGTCTTACATAAAGGACAAAATTTATTATTTAAATATTTTATATGACTATTATACCCTCAACTAATTCTTCTCACTCTCTCCCCCACTCTCTTCCTTTCTAAATCCATAGACAGCTTCTGCATATATAATCAGGGAGTGTCAGATTTTCAATCAATTTGCAATCAATTTTTTTTTGGTAAAGATTAAGAGATTCGGATTAGAGAGATGATCAGAACCGGTGTTGTTTCGCGGCGAAAGAGATCGTCGGAGATGATCGGAGACAGCAGAGTAGAAGATGTTGGCGGCGAAGAAGAGGCAGAGGGCGGAGAGAGAGGTGACGGAGCCGATGAATCCGGCGGTGAATCTGGTGGCGCCGCACGAGACGCTAGGGAAGAGAAACTCGAAGAAGGCGCAGATCGGGTTGAAGTAGATGAGAAAGAGTACGAAGAGATATGAGAAGACGATCGAGTGGAGGAGGAGAAATACTGAAGTTTGCCAATCGTCCATGCGGTAGATTGAGTAGATCTGTGTCCAATCTCTCCCTGTTTTCCCCATTTTTTTTTAAATCTAATCACACTCTTTGATTGAAAGTTTCAAAAGCTGCAATTTTCAAATGAAAACCGTTACTGAACGCTACAAGATCTAGTAAAAAAACTTCAAATCGGAGCTAATTGCGAGACATACGAGTAAAAATTCGATGCAAATTGCAAAAACTAATTGTGATTGATTTATGATGATTCAACTTACAGTAAAGATCTGAGAGGAGTACGTTCTTTGGCCAATTTAGGCATCTTCTAAGAGATTCGATTCGACCTCAATCCCGATTTTTGTTGTTTTGTATCTAATTTCATTTGACAGAACCAGAGTAAAATCTTACTCTGGTTCTATTGCTCTGTTTTTTTCATTTGACAGAACTAGAGTTTTCAGAGTAAAATTTTACTTTTAGTTTCAAAGTGTAACATTTTACTCTTATTCAGAGTAAAATTTTACTTTTATACAGAGTATTGTTACACTCTGAAACTAAAAGTAAAATTTTACTTTTATACAGAGTAAAATTTTACTTTTAGTTTCAGAGTGTAACATTTTACTCTTATTTAGAGTAAAATTTTACTTTCATACAGAGTAAAATTTTACTTTTAGTTTCAGAATGTAAAATTTTACTTTTATACAGAGTAAAATTTTACTTTCATACAGAGTAAAATTTTACTCTGAAATATATAGTGAAGATAACTTAATATGAGAGCTGATAAATATGAGGATAATATAGTAAAAGAAACAAATTTTAAAATATTAAGGGGTTTTGAAAGTACTTATATAATTCTTGTCCTTTTAAAAGACAAATTAGATAGTGAGAGGGCTATCACCAAATCCCAAAAAAAAAGCAAAAATCAACAAATTTCATAACCATAAAAAAATCTATAGCACTTCCATAAAAACAAAAAATTAAAAAATGAAGGATCAAGCACAAATTTCGACACGATCCAACAATTCAAATTATTATGTTCCCCTTCCTCCTCCATGCTTATGCCTTATGTTATTATAATTTTCCGTATGTAAATTTAAATTAAGTTAATAAAATTTAATTAGACAGTATATATCATGTTATTTTCAAATGAGATAATAAATAGAGAGAAAGTTTGTTGTGTCGCTATTGACTAACATTGTTGAAATATAACATTTTGTCACTATTCATTACTAACTAATAACTAATCATTTAATTATTGAAGAATGATTATATATATATATTAAACCATGAAAGATGCTTATTTATGGTAAAACTCACTCTCTTGTATGCGTCAAGAGCCATTGGGTCAACCATAGGCCATATAGTTTTAGTCAATTTGTATATCTATTATTGTACAGGCACACAGGCATGCTCCGAAGTGGAAACCATAGCATAAGAATTAATTTTTATTCAAAAAATAAAAAATAAAAGAAAAGTTTTTGCAGGGTCGAGTCTGTCAAAACACAGGACTAAAGACTTTGACGAAATTAGAGAAACTAAGAATAACAATCTAAGAATAACAATTCAGCACATTGCAACATTAACTACAGCAATCTACCAAAATAAAGATGAAGAAAAACACCACAGAACACTTTGACACCCATGTTGAAGCTATGCAAAAGTAAAGAAAAGAAAAAAAGGGATTTTAAAGAGCTAAATTTTCTTGACCAGCAGCCCATTGGTCCCTGTATCCGGATCCGAGTTGTCAAATGCACCGTCATATGACAACACATTGTTGTAAGCATGACAAAACCGTTCTTTCACCAGATCATTATGTGATGAGCTGCCGACCTCAATATCATTGTGCCAAATCTGCTGCAGCTGCAGCGCAATGTTGAGGCTCCCAACCACATCATACATTGATGGCCGTTCTATTCCCCTATCAAGCAGGCAATTCCACGCGATCTTGACAAATTCCCTCAAACATTCTGGGGCTATGCTCCCCACTAGAAATGGATCAATGATCTGATCAATTGTTTTCCTTTGAACACAAGTTCTGAACCAGCGTACTAGCATTTTTCTATCCTCTTTTAGGGAAGGATCGCATGGATTCCTAGCACACAGTACTTCCAATAACACCACACCGAATGAGTATATGTCAGATTTTTCTGTCAGTCGCAGATATTGTATGTACTCTGGATCCAAATATTCCAAATTGTCACAGATAAGCGTAGTGACACCGACCACATTGGGCAACCAACAATCCGAAACTTTTGCTACTAAATTCTTGTCCAACAAAATATTTGCTGGTTTAATGTTGCCATGGATGATTTCATGCCTGGAATGTAGATATTGCAGTCCTTGTCCAGCACCGATGCAGATTTCAAGCCGCTTCTCCCATGGAAGCGGAGTATAACCCTTGTCCATCCCATAAAGATGATCGCAGAGAGACCCATTTGCCCCGTAATTGTACACTAGAAACTGCTCACCTTCATCGCAGCAGTAACCGATCAAAGACATAATGTGTAGGTGACAAAGCTGGGACTGAACGTGGATATCTGTCGGGATAGCACCTGATGTCAAACGTTTGACCACAACCTCAACAGTTTTGTGGTTGATCCAGCCTTTGTACACCTTGCTAAAGCCACCATCTCCGATCTCGAGCTCGTAATAGAAATCGTTTGTGGCCTCTTTAATCTCCCTGATAGAGAAACCATGTAACCGCGGAGTGGAACTATCCCACTGTAACATTCCACTGTTGGAATCATAGACCTTCGTCTTCCTCCAACGAACATTCATACCTTTACCTAAAAGTGCAATAATACTCTGAAACACATTGTTGAGCTTTCCCATTGAACTCTTCTTGGCTTGGGGTATATTCTCACAGTATTGCACAGGAGTGGAGGGAGGGGGGACTGTGCCAGCATCATCTGCTCGTATATCCCTGCATTGATCCTGTGCCACCAATGCGCACGAGGGAACTGTACCTTGTGGCAGAGCATCATCTGCTTGTATGTCCCTGCACTGATCCTGTGCTGCCAATGCACACTCGAGGCTCACCACTACATCAGCCATTGTAGGCCGTCCATTTGGACGATTATGTAAGCATTTGCTAGCAACTTCTGCAAACACCTTCAGGCAATGTGGCGAGATTTGGTCCTTCAAACTGGGGTCAATGATCTGATCAAGTTTCTTCTCTCTGATACAGTGTTGAGCCCATAGGGCTAAACTGCGTTGTTCTTCCTCAAGCCTTATATCTACTGCAACCCTCCCACAAAGCACTTCCAACAACACAATCCCAAAAGCATACACATCTGATTTCTTGGTTAGCCTACGGGTCAAGAAATATTCTAGATCCAAATAACCAAATGTGCCTTTAACGTCTGTGCTAACATGGGTTCTAGAATGGCTTGTGGTGCCCATTTTGCACAAACCAAAATCTGAAATCTTAGCTACCCAATCCTTGTCTATTAGAATGTTTGTGGTCTTCACATCTCGGTGTATGATACCATGTTGAGTACCCGTGTGAAGGTAATCCAATCCACGAGCAGCATCAATGCATATGTTGAGTCTTTGCTCCCATGATAGATGACAAATATTTCCACTGGTATTAATTTTGTAGAGATGATCAGCAAGGGTACCATGCTCCATATACTCATAAACAAGGATCATCTCGTGGCCTTCTTCACAATAGCCTATGAGACTGACAAGATGCATGTGTCGAAACTTGGAAAGCATCTCAATCTCTGTCCAAAACTCATGTGCGCCTTGCTTAGAATTTGAATTCAACCGTTTTATGGCAACAGTAGTTTCCACACCGTCGATGAGTAGTGCTTTGTAGACCTTACCAAACCCACCACTTCCAATGACCAATTCATCATTGAAGTTGTTGGTCACAGATTGGATCTCAGCAAGTGAGAAGCGACGACACGACTCCTCAGATGGTAATGATGAGAAGTTTTTCTCACCAAATTTGTCACCCAATATACGTAACTGGTAAATAATTATATTCAATACACACAGGAAAATTACTACACCAGTTGCAATGACATTTCCACCGCTAGCAAAGACAAACTTCTGGGGATTTGGGTTACCAAATATCGAACCACTTGCCACAGGCACCGGGTTCACCCCAGCAAGATTATTGTCGGGGTTGCTCAACTTGAATACCTCCAACCCCTTTAGAATTGCATCAATGTGTGTGGTCCTCCACTCATAGCTGTGATTGTGAGGGCACAACACTATAACCATATCACGCTTACCCTTCATCCGATCTCCTTCCATTGTCAACACGTAGTCTCTATACACTGCAACCCCATTGCTGCCACTCCATTTGATAATGTCAGCATTAGCCTCAACCATCTGATTATTAACAAAGATCTTGAACACCATGTGGCCACTCTCTTTTATCTCGTATTCAAGCTCACAGAAATGGAACCTAAGTAGATACCTAAATCCGAGATCAACAGGTAATTTCCACGTAAAATTGAAGGTCTTGTTCGCTTGCTGGTCCAGAACCATCGACCAAGATGTTTGGTAAACTTTTTGAGGAGCAGAATATGTTGGTGTAGTTGTGTATTTGATCCGAATTGTTGTACTAACTGGCAAGCGACTTGATTCTAATAAATGATTGGAGTCCTCAGACCACTCTCGAAACATGCCCGTATCTTCTATGGACAAAATGGAACTTCCGCCAACATTTAATCGTTGTACCAACTCGAGTGCGATGCTCTCATCAATTGGGAAGCGATATTTCTTGCCAGCAACATGTGCACCTGGATCACCCTCGAGAGTATGATAAAGTCCTGTTGGCAATGAGACAATTTCAATGCCATTCACAAAAGCATATACCTCATCCAAAGTACCATCTGTTGATGGAGAAAATGTTACGATCAGTGGCTGATTTTCTTCCACGTTCACACAAAATTCTTTGGCAAAAGATTGTAAGCCCAAAGCATCAGCAGTAAGTGAAGCACTGAAGTTGCTAAGGAGGGTATAAGGACCTGCTTTTACAGTAAAAAAATCTTTAGACCTTTTGAAACCCGGGTAAGAAGCAGGACAGAAATGAAGACGAATGAATTTCGGGCCAGCAGAGACTTGGAATCTATAGGTGAATTGTGAACGAGAAATCCGAGCAGACCCGTAGGGAACAGGATTGACAGAAAACAGTCGGTCAACCGGTGTTGAGCTTATCAACTTGACCTTGGATCCTTGAGAAATGATATATTTTGAACCAATATCTCCTATCCACTGCCGGCCATCTAGTGCAGATGATGATTTGCCGGAGAAGCCGCAGTTAACAGCAATATTATCAACTGGGTAATAAAATGCAGGGGAGTTGCCACCGACAACTGAAAAAGTAAAATGGCAGAGCAAGTAGTAAAGAGAGATAATAATGAACATTTTTTATTTTTATTTTTTTGTAGTGATCTTGGATTGGATCAAAGAGATTTTGGAAATGATAAACGAGGACGATAAAGACCATACTCCACAATCTAATTGTTGAGCAAACCTTAATGGATTGTCTTCTCCATCAAGACTTGGTAAGAGTTAGGTCAGTCAAACCAAAAATAAACAATCTTCGCAGAAACTACACATAATGTGGGATATATATATATATATATAAAATAGTCACCCAAATATATTTGTCTCATGAAATTGAAGGTAAAAAGACTACTTTACCTTCTTTGGCATGAGCTAAAAATAACTATTTTTAAGTGAAATACATTAAAAAACAAAAATATATTTGTCTTGAGTTAAAAAAAATACATTTTTCCACTAACAAAAAGGTAAATTTCTTAACTATTACCAAATGCATCATCAGCTTTTTTAGATTCTGAAAAAAAATAAAAAACTAAAGAACCAATTAACTCCCCCTAAAAAAACTACATTTGAAAGCTATAATTGACACAATAATTGTTTGTCACAGCATTAATTCATTTTTTATGGGGCCAATTAAAAGAGACCTGCTGGTGCCCGTTGCTTCTTCTTCCTCTTTTTTTTGCTTTTTTTTTTCTCCATAACCCATCACAAATCTTAATGGATTGTGTTCTCCATCAAGACTTAGAGCCATAAAAGTTAGGTCAGTCAACCCAAAAATAAACAATCTTCGCAGAAACTACACATAATGTGGGATATATAAAATAGTCACCCAAATATATTTGTCTCATGGAATTGAAGGTAAAAAGACTACTTTACCTTCTTTGACATGAGCTAAAAATAACTATTTTTAAGTGAAATACATTAAAAAACAAAAATATATTTGTCTTGAGCTAAAAAAAATACACTTTTCCACTAACAAAAAGGTAAATTTCTTAACTATTACCAAATGCATCAGCTTTTTTAGATTCTATAATAAAAAAAAACTAAAGAAGCAATTAACTCCCCTAAATAAACCACATTTGAAAGCTATAATTGACACAATAATTGTTTGTCACAGCATTAATTCATTTTTTATGGGGCCAATTAAATGATACCTGCTGGTGCCCGTTGCTTCATCTTCCTCTTCTTTTCCCTTACTCTTTTTTTTTTTCCCCTCCATAACCCATCAAAAATCTTATTCTAGCTCTTTAGAGCCTGATGGATTGACAATCCTTTTCCTTTGCATATGCCACAGATCATCTAAGAATAACAATTCAGCACATGCAACATTAACTGCAGCAATCTAGCAAAAAGAAAGAACACAACTAGGTCCGTTACACGAGTCTAAACTTGCACAGCCATCACCCGAAAGAGAGAGAGAGAGCACTAGTTCCCAACTAACAGCCAAATTGCAATATACCCTTCACATATCATTTTGTAAAGTTGTCACTTCCTGTAATATAGCACCTTAACCATTAAGAAGCACACCCATGTATTTTATTTTTATTTTATCAGAGAGCTAGGCTATTTACCTGATAGTAATTATGCAGGTAAAGTGCCTAGCTCTCTAATTAAATAAAAATAAAATATATGGTGTGCTAGTGATACATTCCATCCATCAAATCAAACATTAAAATTTTGAAAGATATATAGAAATGACTTGTCTGTGTCAAAATTTCCAGGGCATATAAACTCAGTTCAACTAAAACAAAAGAGAATCCCAACTACTATAGTTTGGACCCAACCAAGCCTGACGTATCACTTAACAAAGAGGAGGATGTGGTTGGAACTAGATTGCAAATAACAGAGCACTCTTAACGTATCATCAAGCCCTGCACTGCTTGTGTGGTTTCTTCCGTTTACTTGTTGGCTTGAATGGTGCCTAATTACATTAGTTATAGGTGTTGAGCTTATCAATTTGCCCTTGGATCCTTGTGAAATGACATATTTAGAACCAATATCTCCAATTCACTGCCGGCCATCTAGTGCAGATGATGAGTTGCCCAAGGAGCTGCGGTTAACTGCGATATTATCTACTGGGTGATAAAGAGCAGGTGAGTTGCTGCTGTCAACTGTGAAAGTAAGAGTGGATGAAGTAGTAAAGAGGGATAAACATGGATAGCCTATAACTATACATGGTTTTTTGTGGTCTTGGATTGGAGCAAAGAGATTTTGGACATGGTCGATGAAAGACGAGTAAGAGAAAGACGGATACTCCACAATCTAAGTGCAAAGTCAGTTTCGGTTAGCAGAGCAGCTGGAAGTTGAGGATGACTTTCAAGCAATAAGTAGGCACAGTTAGAAAGCAATGCGCTCAAGCCTTTATGGAGAAATAGGTAGTAAAGAAACTCTTCTTTGCGGTGAGCGGTATGTCTAAGTTCCGGGAGTCGTAGTCAGCAGTAATAATAATTAATGAGCCAAGTTTTTCTTTTTCTTTTTCTTTTTTTGAACAGGAGCCAAGCTTGATAGATAGATTATTGTTTCCATCAAGACAGAGATCTAGAGACTTAGGTCTGTCAATCCAATACATAAACGATCTTTTGTTAACATTAGTGAAAGTAAACTATAACAGGACTTCATTACATTTATTCTATGCAAGAGTTCTTTTCCTCTCCTCACCCAAACCATATTTGACTGAATTTTTGTTTTTTCAGACACCGCATCAACAATGCATTATTTCATTTTCGGTGGGTCCATTTAACTGAAACAGGTACGCGGCCATCACTTTTTTTTTTTTTTTTTTGTGTATAATTCATCACAAATCTTATTTTAGAACTTTACATCCAGATGGATTGACAATCTTTTTAGTTTGCTTATCTAAGAATAACAATTCAGTACATGGAGCATTAACTAATGTGGGGGCCGAATAATTATGTGTTGAGGAAGGCCAAAGAATTTGAAGACATCTAGCCTTAGTCAATTCGGCTACAGTCTAAGGTAGAGTATAGTCGGCCATACGAAGAGATTTGGACATCTGGCCGAAGACATCTAAATGTTCAGTCGGTGTAATAACCCTCATCGCTGCTTACCGATAAACATTGATTACCGTCAAACTGAACTGATCATGACTGATAATTGAGCTGATTAAAGTACTGAACTGACTGACTGAAAACTGGAACTGAATTGACCGAGTATGTATGTTAATCTGTATTCTATCTGTTTGATTGTTTACTTGATCTGTTCACGTTTTACGTTTAAACTGTTAATTGAAGGCCTTATCGGCGGCCGAATCGGGAATTGATTGATGTTTTATGATCCTCATAATTAATGTGATTTTATGGTGTATTTATCTGAAAATTGATTAGGTATGATTAAATTAGATTAAATATCAATGAATTGCAAGTGTTAGGCTTATTTACACTTTTGCCACACTTAGTGGCCACTATCTCACTCACACACATTTGAGCCTTGTATACACTTATACACTTAGATCAAAACATTGCTCAGCCTTTCTCCTTGCCATAGTCGACCAAGAGGGGGAGAGAGTGAGAGATTGAATTGTTCATCTTGAATTGCTTGGGAACTTGAAGAATTGCTTAGTAATTGAAGTATAGATTACATATTTGAGCTCCTAGTCTTCTAATTCCAAGACTTAGGTAAGGATTTCATCTTCTCATTCTTGTGTTTGAGCTAATTCTTGCATGGTCCATGTTAAATTGTAGAGCTAAGTCATGTTTTAGTTCATACATGTTGATATAGAGCATAATCCATGCATGCATGTTTGAATTGTTGGATTTTGAGTTGAGTTCATGGCAAATTGTTACATGCATGTCCATGATTTTGTAATGGTCCATGTTTTCATCTTGTTTTTGGATCAATTGGCTCCTTAGAGCATCAAATTGAAGCTTCAAAATGATTTGAATTCATGCATGTTTGCATGTTCATCTTGTTCTTGAAAAATGGTTTGAAATTGAGTTTGAATTAAACACCCTTGGGCTTTGATTTCTCAAATTGAGCTTTGAACCATGTTATTCCATGTGTATACAAATGTTTTCCAGAAAATGGGCCCAAGAGGATTGGTTTTGATGCATTTGAATGTGAGTTGAGCTTGGTAGTGCAATCTGGGTTTTCCAGATTTTGCACTCCCGCTCGAGCGTGGAAGTGGTGCTCGAGCGTGGAATCCGAGCATCCAGTATTTTCTCTGCACTGTTTTACAGTCCGCTCGAGCGGAGGATTGGGCGCTCGAGCGGAGGCATGTGTCTCACGATCGAGCGAGCGTCGAGCGTTCGTTGAGCGGAGATTTCACCCATCCAGTACTTTTACAGTACGCTCGAGCGGGAGAGTTGACGCTCGAGCGTGTAGCCTTGTTGCATGTCCGCTCGAGCGGGGAAACCTGCGCTCGAGCGGGACTCTGTTTTCTGAAAATTCTGAAAATGCTTTTAAAAGTGCATCTTTGCATCCTCATCCCATCCTAGGCATGCTTAGGCCTAGCTTAAGACATCTTATTGAGGATATAGATGTAGAACACACCGAGGCAACTTAGGGATTAAGTTATTCTCTTTCCCAGCTCTGTAGCTTAGTGTGTTTAATCTGTTAACTGTGTAGGGTTGGCGACTGGGGAGGCACGCTCTAGCATACTGTAGCCCAAACTCTGTGAGTAACAATTGTGTAAAGATATGTTCAAAAATGATATTTTTTCTGAAAACTGAACTGTAACTTTGTTTTCTGAATTGAATACTGTTAATTTGAATGAATGTATGTCCTATATTCTGAATTGTATTGTGGCATCCTTAGCACCTACTGTTTTACTGCTACTGTTACAGAGATCTCTGTCGTTCCCTTGTTGGAACCACTACTGTTACTGACTGATGGCCATCATTACTGTTCGGTCTTTTAAGACCTACTGTCATGCTAATCGGATGTACCACATATGACTGTACTGACTGAACGATTGATATAACTGCAATCAATGAACTTTTTCATTACTGTAAGGACATTCATTCTTAACCCTTTACGCATTATGTTATTCACTGGGCTTTAGCTCACTGCTCATATATATATTGTAGGTGTTCAGGCACAGACCGCGGCTAGGGGAGCGCGCGGGGGTTAACTTTCCAAGTTTTTTGTTTTTTTCCAAAGCCAGCCTTTGTGCCTCACTGCGAGGTTCCGAGCCTATCGTGTTAAGGCTTAGGGGTGTTTTACAATTCCCCCTTCTGTACTGTCTTACTGCTCTGTATAGACTGAATGTTTACTGTACTGTTATGCAGGGATTGAGTCCCTAGTCTGAATGATTGTAAATATTGTGTATACTGTTCTGTACTATTTATGTATAAATGTATGAGAAGTCTTTTGCATACAGACTGTCACAGCTCATTGGGCATTGTTTATTTACTGTTTTGGCTTCCGCCAGGCCCTGTACTCTCTGTATTACTGTATTACTGTTCTGTAGGCCTTCGGTAATCTCGGATTACTGGCCGGTTACGGTGCTAAACCCATAGGGCCGGGTTTGGGTCGTGACAGTCGGCCATATGAAGAGCCGAATAGGAACCAGTACATAATCAAAAGGAAGAGTAAGCCATCAAGTGCGAGATTAAAGGTGGGCCTGACCCTAGGCCCAAAGGGTAATATAAAAAGAGGAACGTCGACGAAAGAAAGGTATGTGAGAATAAATAAAATAACTTAAGATAGAAACAAACCTGAAAGCGTACTAACTTGACCGTCGGAATGCTAATTCCGATACCCCCGACTGGAGTGTTCATCTCTTTTTCAAGTAGCAATTAGGGGATCAAGGACGTCTGACTGGATACTAGAGTATTTCCAAACCACTTTTCGACAATTTGCGCCGTCTATGGGAATACTCAAGCACATCCATGGCTGGCGTAACAGATGATCCTCCGGTAGTCGCTGACGACATTACGCCAATAGATGACATCCCTCCAAGAAACATGCTTGGACCGGAGAATATCACCGCATGACAGGTCTTGAACTTCGACTCAATTGCCCAGACCTCACCCTCAACATCGGTGCAAGAGACCATGCAGACAATCGTGGATCAAGCAAAGCAAAATGAACAGCGTCTGGAAAACATGATTGTTGAGAACGAGCGTCTGCGCCAAGAGTTGGCCCTGGAGCTAGCCAAATCCCAGCAGGCCGCATGCCACGACCGGGGTCGACCTTTAGGAAAGAAGGATGATCGACGACGTCAACTTCGAAAACACGATAATGACAGTGATTCTAACTCACCATCCCCGGAACCTAGAAAAAAGGGACGAGTCGATGTATCCAGCTCATCTGAAGGAAGTTCGCATGTACGACACAAGCGAGGAAGGAGAAGTGATGATTCGGATGAAGATGACAAGCATGACCCTTTTGTGCGACGAATTGCAAGGGTTGTACTACCGAAGAAGTTCAAAGCACCGTCATTCACCCTGTATGACAAAAAATCAGATCCCACTGACCATATTTGTCATTATAAACAAGCGATGACACTGCATGCTGACGATGAAGTCCTCATGTGTCAAATGTTTCGGAGCAATTTGGGACCACTGGCCGTCAGATGGTACTATAAACCGGAGCCGGCATCGATTAAAAGCTTCCATCAACTCTAAAAGTCCTTCAGGGCAAGATTCATCACCAATGAAATCCAACCAAAGCAAGCCGATTCTCTCTGGGCAATGCAAATTAAACCAGAAGAAACCCTTCATAAATATTCCGCACGCTATTGGGAATGCTTTAACCTGGTAGACGATGCCTGCAATGACTCCATGGCCATCACCGCCTTTAAAATGGAATTACATCTTAATAGTCCCCTCCGCAGTTCGTTGACCAGACGGCCCCCCAAAACAATTTGGGCATTAATGAAAAAAGTTGAAGAATATTGTAAAGTGGAAGACAATGCCCTGCGGGTCAAAGCCGGACAAAAAGCCGTTAAGACGACTCCGCTTGGAATCGTTCAACCGATAAGCGGCGTGCCATCAAGGAGCCCCGAACCGCGAAATCGAGCTAAACAAGACAAAAAGCATGACTCGCGCTGATCGAGTGATCAGTGTTCACACCGATCAAATAAACAATATCAGGTAGATAGCAGGCGCACAAGACGCTCGGACAAAAAGTACATGGAGTTAGCAGAGCCGATCAGCAAGATTTTGTCGAAAGTTCAACACTTTCCATTCTTTAAATGGCCACCCAAAATGATGGGACCTCCCAATACAAGGAAGAGGGACAAGCAGTGTGAGTACCACAAGGACCATGGTCATGACACCGACAGTTGTTAAGCATTGAAGGACCACCTGGAGGAACTGGTACAAGACAGCCGGCTGGCGCAACACATCCGAAAGAATAATCCATCGAACACGGTAGCCCTACGGTCAGATTCACCTCCACTTGGTATGATTCACATGATATACAGCCTGCCGTCGTCAACTGATATACAGACAATTCAGTTGCAACCTAGCCTGCATAGGCCGATCACACCAGCAAAACGGCCCCATGAGACTGGGAGGATTAGTTTCGACGACACTAACTTGATTGGGGTAACTCTCCCCAACACCGATCCCCTCGTCATTGAGTTACGCGTGAACAGATTCACTATTGAACGCGTTCTCATTGATCAGGGAAGCACTTCGGAAATAATGTATTATCGTTCAACCGATAAGCGGCGTACCATCAAGGAGCCCCGAACCGCGAAATCGGGCTAAACGAGACAAAAAGCATGACTTGCGCCGATCGAGTGATCAGTGTTCACACCGATCAAATGAACAATATCAGGTGGATAGCAGGCGCACAAGACGCTCGGACAAAAAGTACATGGAGTTAGCAGAGCCGGTCAGCAAGATTTTGTCGAAAGTTCAACACTTTCCATTCTTTAAATGGCCCCCCAAAATGATGGGACCTCCCAATACAAGGAAGAGGGACAAGCAGTGTCAGTACCACAAGGACCATGGTCATGACACCGACAGTTGTTATGCGTTGAAGGACCACCTGGAGGAACTGGTACAAGACAGCCGACTGGCGCAACACGTCCGAAAGAATAATCCATCGAACACGGTAGCCCTACGGTCAGATTCACCTCCACTTGGTATGATTCACATGATATACAGCCTGTCGTCGTCAACTGATATACAGACAATTCAGTTGCAACCTAGCCTGCATAGGCCGATCACACCAGCAAAACGGCCCCATGAGACTGGGAGGATTAGTTTCGACGACACTGACTTGATTGGGGTAACTCTCCCCCACACCGATCCCCTCGTCATTGAGTTACGCATGAACAGATTCACTATTGAACGTGTTCTCATTGATCAGGGAAGCACTTCGAAAATAATGTATTACAAAATGTTTGTTAAACTCGGATTTGTCGCCTGTTGATTACCCATTATTCAGCTTCAATGCTAACCCTGAGTATCCTTTGGGCAAAATCACACTACCAGTTCAGAAAGACACCAGATCAGTAGACGTAGAATTCTGGTTGTCAAACTTCCTTCACCATACAATCTCATCATGGGAAGAACTTGGTTGCATACCATGCAAGCTATGCCGAGCACCTACCACCAATTACTTCGTTTTCTGACTGAGTATGGCATTGAACAAATTCGAGATTCTCAGAAATCAGCACAGGCATGCTACCTTGTTGCTGCTGCAAGGAGACCAAAGGAACTGGAAGTGAATTCGATTGAAGTACCAAATCAAGAGAGCCTCGAGGATATTGAGAAGATCCCTAACGAAAAGGCAACTGAAGACCTAGATCAGGTCGAGATTGATAGGAGTCCTGACAAGTTCTTCATGATCGGCACTTCCTTGAACGAAGTTGACAGGCACGAGCTTGTATCCTTGTTACTCGGCAACCTCGACGTGTTTGCGTGGACACCATACGAGATGCCAGGGGTGGATCCATTTGTTGCCCAGCACCGCTTAAACGTTGATCCAAAATGTAAGCCAATCATTCAAAAAAGTTGGCGGTCAGCCGCAGAGCATGCTTCAACCGTTGTTGAAGAGGTTGATCGATTGTTGGAGGCCGAAACAATTCGCGAAGTAATCTATCCTACATGGTTGTCCAATACCATAGTTGTAAAGAAGAAGAATGGATCTTGGCGTGTTTGTGTGGACTTCACGGATTTAAACAAAACTTGTCCCAAGGATTGTTTTCTCCTCCCCAAAATAGACCAACTTGTATATGCAACGGCATATTATCAACGCATGAGCTTCTTGGACGCCTACAGAGGCTATCATCAAATTGATATGCATCCAAAGGATTAAGAAAAGACTGCATTCCTCACCCCTAGAGGAACCTATTGCTATAAGGTCATGCCTTTCGGGCTGAAGAATACGGGAGCAACTTACCAGAGACTGGTTACTGCCATGTTCAAGGAACAGCTCGGCCGCACCATGGAAGTATACATCGACGACATAGTGGTCAAATCTAAGGAAAAGCACGCCCACTTAGCCGACTTGGCAAATACATTCGGCATTCTTCGAAAGTACAAAATGAAATTAAACGCCTCGAAGTGTGCATTCGGTATCGGATCCGAAAAATTCCTAGGCTACATTGTGAACCACTGTGGAATAGAGGCTAACCCAAGGCATATAACAGCAATTCTAGAACTTGGCTCTCCTCAGTCGATTAAAGAGGTTCAGAAGCTGATGGGAATAGTCGCCGCGCTCAATAGATTTATCAGTTGTTCCACAGATCGCTGCCGACAATTCTTTCACACACTTCAGCAAGGCAAAGCTTTTGAATGGACCCCCGAGTGCCGCTTTGGACAGCTTGAAAACTTATCTCCAATCAATATCACTCCTGGTAACCCCTTCGGCAGGCGATCCGCTCATTTTGTATCTGGCGGTATCTGACTAGGCGGTCAGCGCTATACTTTTAAGAAAGGAACTCGGGGAGCAGCGACCAGTTTACTATGTAAGCAAAGCAATGGCCGACGCCGAAACACGTTATCTACCAATGGAAAAGCTCATCTTTATCTCGTTATGGCTGCAAGAAAACTAATGCATTAATTTCGGGACATACCATAGGTGTACTAACGAACTATCCCCTCCGGTCGGCGCTCCGTAGCGCAGAAGCATCAGGGCGCGTTTCAAAATGGGCTTTGGAACTCAGCCAGTATGATATCCAGTTTTTGCCTAGAACTGCCATCAAGGGGCAAGTACTCGCCAACTTTGTAGCCGAATTCACGGGATGTCTTGCCGATTTCAAGTCCGAACAAGTGCAACCTAAACCCAACTGGAGAATATATGTTGGAGACATTTGGCAGTTATACTGTGATAGGTCATCCAACCAACGTAGCAGTGGGGCAGGCGTAATAATCATGACCCCCGAAAGGGCAATAATCGAACAGGCGGTTAAACTGGGCTTTGATGCATCAAATAATAAGGCCAAATACGAAGCATTACTGACCGGCCTTCGAAACGCACTTCACCTCGATGCGCGGCGGTTACTTGTTTTCTATGACTCGAAACTAGTCATCAACCAGTTGAAAGGGGAGTATGCAGCTAAAAATGACCGCATGGCAACCTACATGACAACGGCGAATTCCTTGCTCACGAAATTCGACCACCATGAATTGAATCAAATAACTCGGGATCAAAACACGCATGCAGATGCCCTTGCTTGCCTAGCCTCTGCCATCAATTCAGAAATCAAACGGACAATCGAAGTAGGATTCATCCCTGAGCCGAACATTACCTCTTCTGAACCAGTAGACGCTAGTTCACATTTTCTGCCACAATCGAGTTCATCTAACTCGCCGACTGCGTTTCGGAAGCCTTAGCTTTCTTCAGCTTATTCTCGGCTTTCTCTGCGTGAGCTTCCAAGCTCCGAATGCGACCGTCTTTCTACTCTATCTCTCTTCATGCAGTGCGAAGACACATGCCGATTTCATAGGAGGTGTATAATCCCCTTACCACTCCATGGACTCCCTCTCGAAAAACTTCATAGTCGGGCCGACCGACCATTGATTGCTGGACTTCGAGCAAAAAAATCTGTCGAACAAACTCGACTACCACATTTGGATCGTGGATAATCGAATCCGCTTCCGTCATTGGTTTATTCCCATTGAAGACTGAAGAACTCAACGGGGCGTGGTATCCTGCTGGTTTCATTTCGCGAATGAGGAGAGCTACTCTGCTGCTACCTCTCCTTCCTGGGTGACTTCCTTGCCCTGCCCCCTCTTGGAGATCTACTTCGACGACGGGGGGAGTGACGCCTTTCGCACTCCTCCGATGTCCTGTTTCCCGTTCGCGTAGGTTCGCCACCTCGATTCATCTCTGAGTCCAGCTCAGCTAGTGTCCTACCTTCCCCTCTACTGTTGAAGAATATTCTTCTTGACATCTAATTTTCCTCAGTTTGACACAATGCTCCTTTCCCTCTCGCAGTCGATTGAATTTGAAAACAGCACAGAACTCACGCGCACTTAACCCTCACCCCACTTATTAATTATGAGTGCAACGTTCCCAAAGCGATCGCTTCAATGCACTGCGCCGACAAGTTATTGTGCCCCACTCAATCCATGAACCACAAGTATTCGGCAATTCTATTCATTGATCAGCTGGGGCAAGGGCAGATTAATAAATCTATTCGGCTTAAGTACAGTGCATTACGCCAACAAGTTAACTGTGCCCCACCCAATCCATGAACCACAAGTATTCGGCGATTCTGTTCATTGACAACTGAGGCAAGGGCAGATGCAGTAAGATACTCGACCTCTAACAATACCCCTTATAATCAGCAGATATATTCAATATGACATTACAAGCTATATGTTTTATTCGGCTCTTCAATGTTCAAATTGACACAAGACATGATTATTCGGCTTTGAAACGACTTATCCATATGACTACACCATACTTGGCTAATAATTAGCATATGCAGAAGACAGACATGCAGAAAGATTATGTTATAGCCGATTAAGTTATTGCCGAATTAAGTTACATCACCATACTTGGCTATTAATTAGCACATGCAGAAAGATTATGTTATAGCCAATTATGTTATTGCCAAATTAAGTTACATCACCATACTTGGCTAATAATTAGCATATACAGAAGATAGACAAAAAGGCAATTTTCATTGATAAATTGAGTACAAGCAGTCGTCATTTTACATATGAAAATTGCCCTATATTTAACTTCTGAACAAAATAAACAAGCAACAATCTATGGAAACCACGTACAGCAAAACACCAAACAAAAAGCAAAAAGCAAAAAGCAAAATTATATTGACATATGGAGCTCATTCTCCAGGGTTAGACTCCAACGGCTCAACCTCTAGTTGCTCATACGGAATTGGCTGCTCCAATGTCACATTAGCGATAGCCAGAGCTTTGAGCCAGCCATGTTTGAAGTCCCGATTTTTGAACTTAGGCACTTCTTCCACGTATTTTTCTAAAGCGGCGTTCTCTCCGGCTTGGAACGCCTTGGAGATCTCGGAGTCGGCGATTTCTTTTGCCTTCTTCGATTCTACTAAGTCGACCTCCAATTTGACAATCACCTCCTTAGCCAACTTGAGCGCATCCTCGCTCGCATTCGCTCTCTCTTCGGCGGCCTGCCTGAGTTGATCTGAACATTTAGCCTTTTCTTCCTCGGCCTTGGCCCTGGCTTGCTCTTCGGCCGCTTTTCCCACCTCGGATTCGGCTCTACGGGAGGCCTCTTCAGCCTTGCCCTTTTCAGTTTTGAGTTCGGATTTGAGCAAGCCGATTTGCTCGATGACGTCATAATGGCGACGACCTATTTTTGTGATCTTGCCATCGCTTGTAAACAAAGGATTAATAAGATAGTTGGCATAAAAAGGAACGGAATATTATGTATTGACACCACATCTGGCTCTGCACAGAACGCTACTCTGTCAATCGGCAGAGAATCGACGAGGCCACGCTTAAGGCCAGAGTGGCGTCTTTCAAAGCCGAAGTATCTGAAGCAACTGGCACGTTCTTTATTTTTGGTTGTATGATAAACGGCGCAGCCAAGTCCAACTCTTCTACGCGCGGCCGTTTATCAGTCTGGTTTTCTGAAGAATCGACTTCATGCTTGGCAGGGCGTTTTTCCCTCCTCTATTCAGCCACAAGATTGTCCGACTGATCGATGATCATTTGCTCCGTTTCGACTATAACAGTCTATTTCTTTAGCAAGAGCAGGCGGCAAAGACTCAGCCACAACAGGTGGGGGTTCAGACTTGGCGGCTTCGGCCCTCCTTCGGGCTGCCATCTTCTTAGTGTTCTTTTTTCTGGCCATTTGCGCGAGCAACTCCCCAGCCATGTTCTCAGGATCTGTGCCAGGAAGATCTCATAAGCCGGTGAAAATATCATCTTTAAATGACACGTCGACTCGGCCTGAAGCGAACGGAAAGTTGAAGCCGGCTTCCTCAAAGGCCAAATTAAGAGTCGCGTCAACTTCCTCCCACAGATTGTCAGATTTGTCCAAATTAGACTGATTCGGCTGTTCAACGACTTGTTCGACAACCTGCTCAGCGACTTGCTCAGAATACGAAGCTTCAAGACCAATCTCCCTGAGGTTCTTGAAATTTGGGGAAATGAGTGTCGTGAGCTGCTGTTCTCCTTTTGGAATCGGGATGTGATCACCGGCCGAAAAAGTAACGTACGTCGACTCGTACCGCAATAAGATATGAGCAGCTCTCCCTTGCTTTTGGAGGTTTGGACGGCCGAAGAATTGGAGCGTAGTTTTGATTTGTTAAAGCACAACGTCGTCGGCCGAGACAAGTACTTTTTTCAAATCGTTACCTGCACAAATGAAACGATTAGTATGCAGTTTAAGCCGAATAAATGTATAACAAATGCGCATAGAAATGGGACTATACGGCCACCTGGTTCGCCTTTTTGTCTAGGCACAGGATCTTGGCGATCTTTGTCTTCGCCGAATTCCCAGTTGCCTCAGACAATGACCAGTACATCGTTAACACGCTTGCCAGAGCTGGCAAGCATAGTCACTAGATGGTGATTAGTGTCCTTGGCCCTAAGAAAGTAGCGTCCTTGCCGACCAGATGATTTCACCAAGGCATAATAATGCTGAATAGCAGGGATGCCTAGATTAATCCTAAGTCGGCGGTTTAGTTCTACTATTCCCATTATGATTGGGTAAAAGTTTACGTTGGGTTGTGAAGGGAGTAGACCCCAGTAACGAAGGACGGCCCTCAAAAATGGATGAACGGGGAAACGGACTCCACCATCAGCGATTGACAGGAGAGGAAAGATGATCGTACTCTCATCGGTCCTCTCCATATCGAGTACGCTATCTGCCAGAAGTGACAGATGGACGTCATCTGGAATGGAAAAATGGCATCGAAAAGCAAAGACACGATCCGCGGAGAGAAGAGCTTTCAAATATTTCGCCATCCGAATCAGAATAGAAAATACTCTAAACTAAAAACAAACAAAAAAATGGGAGTTGGAATGAGGAAGAAATGCAAGGAATATAAGAACTTATAAGGTAGAGAGAAAAGGACAATGGGGAGCAGGTGGAAGTTGTAGAGGTGAATTCGAAGGAGCTTTGCAAATTCAAAAAATATCTGAAAGGACAACGCGGCTTCATATCGCATTAAATGAACAACGCATACAAAGGGACGGGAAATTGTAATGATTTCTAAACCATGGTCGTTCTAATGCTTCGGTTATTATGGAAAGAGTGCCAAGCCGCCGTAGTTTGATTTTTCATATATTTAAAAACCAAACATGCCGAATAATTGGCTTTAGTCGGATGTTTGGGGAGCAATTGTGAGGACCGAATAATTATGTGTTGAGGAAGGCCAAAGAATTTGAAGACATCTAGCCTTAGTCGATTCGACTACAATCTAAGGTAGAGTATAGTCGGCCATATGAAGAGATTTGGAGATCTGACCGAAGACATCTGAATGTTCAGTCCACCATATGAAGAGCCGAATAGGAACCAGCACGCAATCAAAAGGCCGAGTAAACCATCAAGTGCGAGATTAAAGGTGGGCCCGACCCATGGACCCAAAGGGTAATATAAAAAGAGGAACGTCGACAAAAGAAAGGTATGTGAGAATAGATAAATAACTTGAGATAGAAGCAAACCTGAGAGCATACTAACTTGACCGTCGGAGTGCTAATTCCGGCACCCCCGACCGGAGTGTTCATCCCTTTTTCAGGTAGCAATCAGGAGATCAAGGACATCTTACTGGATACTGGAGTATTTCCAAACTACTTCTTCACAACTAATTACAGCAATCTAGCAAAAAGAAAGTATCTCAGTGCAGATATGACTCACTACTCATATGCTTTAATTTTTTTCTAATCAAATGGATTGGGCCACAACAAGAACTTTTATTTGGTTGTAAGTTTTTTTTGTTTTGTTTTGTTTTGTTTTTTATTTTATGCCACAAATTTTTGCTCCCTACTATTCTCTAACTTCAATAGCCAAAGTAATTCAAATGAAATTAGTCCCAGAAACCTTAGAGAAGGATTTTGAACCCCATATTTGGTAACACTTGATTCTGCCAAACAATCTAAGAATACAATTCACAGCACATGCAAACATTACTTAAAACAGTCTATCAAAAGAAAAAGAAAAAGAAAAAGAACACTACGGCACACCCAAGATTCATTGGTCTCACCTATGGGTATGGCTACCAATTTTTGACCCATGTTGATGCTATGTAGAAGTAAAGAAACAGAAGGGGTTTTAAAAAGCTAAATTTTCTTGATCAGCTCATTACTTCCCGTATCCGTTATGTCAAATGCACCATCATATGACAACGCATTGTTGTAAGCACGACTGAAGGCTGAACGGAATGGTTCTTAAACCGGATCATTTTCAGATGAGATCCCATCTCCATATCATTATTCCAAGTCTGCTGCACCTGCAGCTGAATATGGAGGCTCCGCACCACATCATCAATTGATGGCCATTCTGTTCCCGATCAAGCACGCAATTCCACACAATCTTGACAAATTCCCTCAAAAGTTCCGGGGCTATTAACTCCCCCTAAATAAACATTTGAAAGCTATAACTGACACTCCTTTTTTTTGTCACAGCATTAATTCATTTTTCTTTTTGATAATCCATTAACTCATTTTTCATGGGGCCATTTAAATGATATCTGTTGGTGACTGATGATTTTTTCTTCTTTTTTTTTTTTTATAATCCTTCACAAATCTTAATTTAGCTCTTAATATGGATTGACAATTCTTTTAGTTTGCTTATTCGACTGACCATCTAAGAATAACAATTCAGCACATGCAAAGAACACTATTAGGTCCGTCACCCCCAGAGAGAGAGAGAGAGAGAGAGAGTCCCTAACTAATGATGCTATTGTTCTATTTCCATAGAACATAAACCAAATTTATACAAAAAAAATAAATAGCCAAATCGCAATATACCCATTTCAATCATTTTGTAAGGTCATCACTTCCTGTAATTAACCATTAGAAACAGAAATTAAGCAGGTAAAGTGAGATGGCCTATGCAACCAAAAGCCTAGCTCTCTGATAAAGAAAAAATAAAATACGTGTGTGCTAATGATACATTCCATCCCATCAAACATCAAAATGTTGGAGGATATATAAAAAGGACCTGTCTTCGTCAAAATTTCCATGGTATATAAATTCAGTTCAACTAAAACAAAAGAGAATCGCAACTACTGTAGTTTGGGCCTGACCTATCACTTAACAAAGAGGAGGATGTGGTCGGAACTCGATTGCAAATGACAGGGCACTTTAACGTATCATCAAGCCCTGCACTGCTTGTGTGGCATCTTCCGTTATCTTGTTAGCTTGAATGGTGCTAATGACATTGGTTATATTACCCTGGAAAAAGTGGCACCAAAACTTGAATCCCCGGAAAAATTCAACAAAAAATAATGTTGGCATAGCAATGGAATGACAGAGACATCAATAGCACATCAAAAAATTCACTCATCAACCTGACTAAAAGATGCTCAAGATGAGGCTTATATTGTAAGCATTAGGTCCAGTAAACAAGTAACACTAGAAGCCTGAGAAGTATCTTAGATTGGAGAAGTATCTTAGATTGGAGACTACCTTTAGCAGGACCAATATGAGGACCAAATGAACACAATACCTTCTGGACAGACAAAATACCAGATACCCAGATATAACCTTTTCCATTAGAATCACAATTCATTCAAAGATATGACCAATCTAGTGGTTGGACTGTGATCAAAGCGAGGCCAATACAACCTAAATTTTCCCAATTTAAACGCTAGTAAACCTAAAATAACCAAATTAATTAACAATAATTTTGAATTATGTACTTTCAATAACATAATTTCATCATTTCTGACTACTAATTTTCCATAGACCAAATTTTCCACAGACCAAGCTGACATTCACAAAATTATTCTCACGAGTACAAATAACTATATATTTATACAACTCTTGAGATACTAGCATTAAAAGCTCTAATGTAATTAAAAATAAGGGTAATTACACCATTTGTCCGTTTAATTTGAGAGAGGTTTTACTTCAGTCCCTCCCTATAATTTCAATTTCATCAATTTAAACCTCACAAATCCAATTACGTTTCGATGTGGTCCCTCCCTCAATTGTCATTAGCTTTTTGGACTGAAAAATGCCTCATATGACTCACACAAGCATTTTAGCAATACCCGCCCAAAAAGAAAAATAGATAAATTATAATGGTGGTCACTAGTTATATATTTTTTTTAATTCCACTCATGTCTTTTTGGCTCCAAAATGCAAATGGCAACTAATGGAAGGACCATATTGAAACGCAATTGAAAATTCGGGGATTAATTTGTTGAAATTGGAACTACGAGGATCAAAGCAAAATCTTGCTAAAACTATATGAACCAACAGTGTAATTTACCTTCAAATAATTTTGTCACTTTCACTTTGCCTAGATCACTGGCATATTTCTGTGCAGGGCTAGAGAAAGTACAGGAACAGGATTTACTTCTATTTCTTGTCCACACCCACCAATAGAGATACAAATCTTTTTAATTTAACTAACGAAATGGCCTTGAATAGAATCGAATGGAGAAGACATATTCATGCAGCCACCCCATTTGATGGGACTTAAGGCTTGGTTTGGTTTGGTTCCTATCCACACCCACCACCTAATCTGGGCAAACAAGCGTAAACTGAACTAACTTTTTTTCCTGTTACTTGGTAACAAACCAAATTCCCATTCTTGTACCGTCAAGACCCAGTTCCAGGTGATGCATAGTACCACAAAAAAATATATACACATGTAATATTCATATACATACATATAGATTAACTGAGAAAAATATAAAACAGAATAAATAACAAGGATTTGGTCAACATTACCCTCCATGTTGCTAGCTTTTCTCGGAGGGTTTGCCATTGATGCATCCCAAAGATGCGCTCAGTGCAGCGGCTAAACACAAAATAGTATTATATTCACCAGTTAATGCTGAAGTTCACAAATCAGATCCACTCTCCCATGCAGAAGCACAGAGAGTGAGCAAACAAGAGAGAGAGAGAGAGAGACCGCACCTTACAATTACAATTTGGTTCATCTGATCTATCTTACAATCAATTAACTTTGCTGTGATTGCCTTAGCTACCCACATTTCTACCTCGTCATCATTAACCTACAAAAGAAACTTGCATCTATGTATTGACGAAAGTGTAAAAATTCAAACCTACAGATGCAGGGATGGGAAATAATTTTACCTGGAGAGTGTCCTTGATTAGTGGATAAGAAATTTGGCCAGATTCAGCAGAGGCAAGATCTACCAATGACATCAACCTCATCTTTACTAAACAGTCTTCATGGACAAGACCTACACCATTCAAAGGAACAAATTCAAGAAACAATTAGATATAAGCCAGAATGCTAAGCTAAGCTCGGCTCAGCTCAGCTACCTACCAGAAATTTAAATGTGGCAAGATGAATAATTACCATAGCTTTTCAGCAAAGTGGAATTTGCTGCATAAAAATCCAAGTATGCATCCAGCCGCTGTGTTAGAAAGATCTTTCGAAGCTGATATACAAAAGCATATTTAGCATCTTTCTCCAATTGTGCCACAGCAGGCATATCTAGCAAATCACACTGCCATGAAACACCACAAAGAATACACTTTGAGAACCAATAACTAGAGTATGATCTAGGCTAAAGTACGGTAAAAATGTGCAACACCTGTGCATACACTCTACAAGCCTAGAACCATAGTAAAGCAATGAACAATAAACACAATGCACATGGACAATCACTTAGCATAACTAAAGCATGCATCACGCATCTTTTATCCAAAGAAAATCCAAATGATTCATCACAACGCTGCTTGACTTCTCACTTCAATCGAAGCTAGTCTAATTCCTCCTTTTCACCTCTAAATCCCATATTCAAAATTCAATTCAGAATTCAATTTCCTCTAAACCCATATTCAAAATTCAGTTAAAGACTGAAATACCTGAAACATGTCAGGTGCCTTCACAAATTCAATAATAGTGCAGACAGCTTCCTCCTTGGCTTCCCCAATATTATATGCATCTTCACCAGAAAAAGTTGCCAGATATTTGGCCAGGAATTTGAAAGAATCCCTTGCTGAGCTGGAATGACGTAAACAATAACAATAAGAATTCCAAAATAAATTAGGAATTTTTTATAGAAAATGTAAACAGAAGGAATTAGTCACAATTTTAAGCATAAAAAACTTTTTCTACAACAATAAACAAGCATAATCCAATTGGATTAGTTACACCTTTGTCCAAAAATAAATCCATACACTTGGACGGCTATACCTTTTACTTTCTTTCAAGATATTTGCGATGGTGCAATAGAGTTTTCTCTGATCCTGGACCCCAATATTCCATTCCGTCAATAAGTTATCCATCTTTTTAAAAGAAGGTATAATATGTTCAGTGACCTTCCCATTGACTGCTAGATCAAGGGCCTTCATGTAAACAAAGAACCGGCTGTACGAATTCTCCAGTAGGTTGTACAGATTGAACACACTGAAAACAAAATTAAAAAATAATAAATCCAAGCATAAGATGATGCTAACAAAGGCACATAAATGCCAAAACAATGATCATCAAATCATATTACATCTTCAAGCGCAGTGCAGGCTTGTCATTTGGTTGTTGGGTGATTTTTGTGGATATAAGCTTTGCCATCTCTAGTGATTCATCCAAACTTTCAGTCTTTGTGACAAGATTGCAAATAACAGTGAAAATGCACTCAAGATCTGCAGTAAGAAATCACAATAGCAGATCTTGTAAATGTAACTGAGAAGTTTACAAAAATGGAAATCAGCAGCAGTTTCATTATTAATTTTACAAATATATATATATATAATGATAGGATGATATTTTTATGCCCTCCCACCAATTAAAAAAAACAATTAATACTTAAGTACATACACTAGCGCAGCCTCAACATTTCTATAACAATTTTGTTGTTAAGACTTTCATTGATGAAGGTGTCATTCAACAATATTTATCCTGATCAAGTAAATAACAGCACCATTTCATCATTGATGGTGCGACAATCACATAATATGGGGCAAATCAGCAGCCTGCTTGTATCACAGCATCAAGCATTAAAAAGGACACTGGCAGACGATACTGAAATTTCAAAAGTTGTAGTTTTTTAACCAGATATATTAATAAGTGTAGCAAGATACCAGCAGAAAAATAATAATAATAAAATATAAAAATCCACGTCTGCTGGGTATGTTATAGAAAATTATTGCAAACAGAAAATGTAATAATAAACAGATAGTCCTACGTCATTATTATATAACAAAATCAAACAGAACACATAATTTCGGAACCATATCATTGGTACCTCAAGAAAAGCAGTAAAATTAAGAAGAATTTATCAAAGAAACACATTCAATTATTGTCATGAATCACTAAACAATCAAATTTCCAAGATGAATGTAGAAGGTGATCCATAGTTTGAGATGTACCTTTCTCGGAAACTTTAGAAAATATCAAGTCGGCGGAGGTGAGCATAAGTGAGGCCAAATCCAACCATCTTCCCATCACAATGCATTCCTGTGCTTCTAAGGATAGACTTTTCACTTGTGCCTCCACAACCTAATAATATGAATCATAAACAAGTACAAAATCACAACCACCTCAACACAACACAACACAAATTTAAATTCCACTCTACCAATAAATTACTAGAATATGGGTTCCAATACAAGTAATTTTTCATATGCCTAAAACGAAGAAAACTCATAAAATAATAAACGAAGAAAACTAAAATTTAGTTGAAGGAGAGATAAGGGGTACCTCGGGGCCGGCGTCGGCCCAGGAAACCTCCGATGTGAAGCGGACGACGGACAGCGCTGGATCTTCCTCCGATGTTGGCACGACGGTCGTCATTCTTTGACGGTAGAGCTCTCAGAACCGGCCAATTAGAGCATCTCCAACCCATCCTCCATGTCTTCAAATATGGAGGATTTGCTCCTCCAACTCACCCTTCAAATTTATTTCTATTTGGGAGGAGAATGAGTTCATCCTCCATATTTGAAGGGAGGATGAAAAAATGAAGGATACTCCAAAATACTATTCATTTATAAATTTGTTATTATATTACAAATAATTTTTAATTTATAAATTTAATTTTTATAAAATTGACATCATTAAAAAGTATAAAATCATATCTTTAGAATGAGTATAATATTAAATATATTTTACAAATATTTATTTATGATATCAAATCATAATTAAATGATCAAATATTCTCATTAATTTAAAATATTTACAATTTTATTCATATAGCACATTTTGACTCATGAGGGGTAAAATTATAATTTTATCAGTAGTTAAAAACCAATTTTTAACTTTTACTACAAACTAAAAAAAAATTCTAAAAACCAACTTTCCAAAATAGCACTTTCTTGAATATATTAATGATCTCAAATCAATTATCTCAGTAAAATTGGGTGAATGAGAAAATATGAAGTTATGGGGAAAATCACTGAGAAATGATTGATGATAAAGTATATTTTTAAAAATTTATTATTAATTTGTAAATATTTTTAAAATACTTATCTGTGAAATAAATTATCGCACTTACGGTCTAACCAATTATAAAAGAATTAATAAATTCCTTTTCAAGAGCTATTCATCTGACATAACATCTACAATTAAATTCAAAAAAGCATTGGCCTCAGATAATTTGGTGAAGAAAAAATTACTCGAATAAATGACTTTTTCTTCTAAATACAGGGTAATCTCAAGGAGTTGTGGATTTTTTTTTACCAATTGGGGCTCTCCCTTAACCACCCCCATAGAAATGGTTTACAGGGTTCATAACTACTTCTGTTATTGGAGAACGCTTATTTAGCCAACACTTAGATCCGGCTCAACCACATGTAAATTTTCCATAAATATATTATTTTTATTTTAATTAATTTGGTAACATACAATTAAACAACAAAATTGAAATACATTTTATATATTAAAATTTAAATTGACGCAATTTAAATAGTAAGATTAAATTTAAAAAAAAATATGTATATTAAATTAACACAATCTAAACACTATGATGAAAATGACACAAAATTTATATTTTGTAAACAAAAAATTGTAATTAATTGAACATAATGTATTTGTATAGTTTGCATAATTCACATATAAGTTATATAGTTTATTTTCTTCAATAAAAAATATATTTAAGAAGATAAATAATCTCCTTCAACTTATAAACAAGATGTAATGAATAAATATTAAAAGGATGTTTGGGATAAATTAAATAAATGCATTTTTTTACTTTTTATGAAATATGAGTTGAATTTGAAGTGATATAGTAAAGAGGTGATGTGACTTAAATAGGATAATGACCTTTTAACTTTTTGACTTTTTTAACTTATGCCAAGCCAAGCCTAAATTTTTAAAAAATAATGTAACGTGATTGTGTCAATTAATATTAATATATAATTTTTAATATAATTTATACTTTTGTTGGAGGAGCTTAAAATTTCAACATTATTTTCAGATTTTAAAGGTTATTTGAGAAGTGAGAAATATTCCCAAAAAAATTAAAAAATCATTACCAAAAAGTTAAATTTTTTTCTTTATTTTTTAAAATTTTGTTATAAAAAATTAAAGAAATCAATTAAAATAGTTAATTTTTACAAAAAGATCTAGGGTTGGTTTGGCAAGTTCAAAATAATCCAAAAAGCCAAAAAGTTACACAAAAAGCAAAAAAGACATTACTATTCACAAATAAAAAATATTAAAAATATATTTTATATATTTTTATAATACAAATCGACTGAGCAACGTGACAGCCGTACTTGTGATAGAGACCAGGCCATTATACACTTTTTGGAGCAAAAAAAAAATTACATATGTAAAGCCACAAAGTTTTACGGTAATGTTGGGCCCTTAGGGGCCCACTAAGGGTTTCGTTTTGATAATTCGAACCGTTCAATATATAGAACTCGTCGAGTAATATATGTCTTAAAAAATCACGTTGATCAGATATCGTTAACTATATGATCAAATCCGTTTTGTATAAACAAAACGGATGGTGCGATAGTTAACTGTTGAAAGATATCCGATCCGATCATATAGTTATCAATATCCAATCAACGTGATTTTTTACAAGCATATAATACTCGACGAGTTGTACATATTACGGTTCAGATTATTAAAATGGGATCCATGATGACCCCCACGGACCGACCATCACTGTCCAAACACTTTGTCTTGAAGGAGATAATTATTTTTTGTGTAAGACATGCTGAGGTAGCAGGGCAGCTGTGACAACCCAGATTTTTAATTATTCTGTATAATTTATATTAATATTATTTAATCTCAGTTCAGAAAATATATAGTTTATTATATTTTATTATGCGTAATTTTGTAAAATAATATAATTATTAAAAGTTTAGGGATCAAAATATAAATAATAGTAATAATGAGTGTGGTTGTAAAATAAATAATTTATTTTCTGTTAGTATACGATAACGTATAATTTAATTAAGAATTAATTTATTTATATAATTATATTAAAATATTATGTTAAAAAATAATTATTTTAAATATCTATTAAGAATAAGAATAAATCATTATAATTATTATTGAATCTGCCACGTATGCTCTCTCCCTCCTATAAAAGGGATGAGGCGTTATCTGGAGAAAAGAAAGATGAAAGGAAAAGAAGAAAAGAAGAAAAGAAAGAGAGAAAGAAGGAAAGGAAAGAAAAGAATAAGAGGAAAGGAAGGAAAAAAAAGATGAAAGCTAAAAGGATTTTTAATAGTAGAAAGCAAGAGTAAGGTATTAAAGTTAAGATAAGTTATATTATATCTTGGGTTATCAAAATATATTTTATGTATGTTTTAACTTACCAAAATCTATTTTATATAAGTTATGTTTTTAATAAAAGTTATGTTTTATAAAGGTTTCAGTTACGTGGTTTTATTTCTGAACCCTATTTACTTAAAAGGAAATTCATGGATATGTCTGTTTATATTTTAAAGAATATTTGACTATGACCTTATAAACAATTATATTTTGTAAATACCACCACGGGAGTCCCACGCCTTGGGAGACTTAAATAATCATGGGTTTCTGTTTGACCACTTTGTGGTCCTCTGTCTGTCATGGATCCATTGACCTCTGTTTTGTGCGGAACTAAGTGCTACACTATAGTGGGAGCCACCTCTAGAATCCGTACAAGCCACCTCTTGAATCCGTACCTCTGTTTTGTGCGGACCAAAGTGCTGTGCGGAACTAAGCTACACTATTGTGAGAGCCATATCTAGAATCCGTATGAGCCACCTCTTGAATCCGTACCTCTGTTATGACTGTCACTTTTGTGACATCTGTTCTGTTCTGTACCGTGGGTTATGGTTATATATTTATATAATATCTGTATTCCAGTTTCTGTTATTCAAATGATTTATGTACCAAATTGAGTTATATAAATGTTTTGGCCTAACTAACGATCCATGGTTATTTCGTGTCCCTTATACTCTTGGTATAATATTTCTCACTCTGCCACGTGCTTATAGTTATTTACCAATTTTCAGGAACCAATGCACTTCAGAAATAGCTTTTTGGAAAGTCGGGTTGCGGAATAAACACACACAGTATTTTTATGATATTATTTATATGTAAATATTGGCCTTTTTGGTCAATATATTTTGTAATAAAAATAGAAACTCCAATGATTATTTTGGTACCCTTATTTAAATTTTACTTCCGCTTGCGTTATTTGATTTGTTTAAGAATTGGCCGGAGGTAACCTCAGTTACTGGCCATCACGATGCTTAGCCCTTGGGTACAAGGAGCGGGTCGTGACAAATGGTATCAGAGCAGTGGTTCATAAAAAAATAAAAAAATAAAAAATAAAAAATAAAAATCCTTGGAGTATATGACACATGCACATTTAGAAAGTAGGATAGCGGGTAATTAGTACCGAATTATTATATTTTTTTCGTCGATTTAATTATATTATAATTTTATATGATTATATATATATAATAAAAAAAAAATTTAGGTGCATAATTTGTGAAGAATATTCGATATAATTTATATTTGTTATAGTAAAAGAAGGACAAGAGCAGAAGAATGTCGGGTTCAATCACCTACCAAAATTATAATATAATTAAATACATGTAATTTTCAGTTCAATATTCAAAAAAAAAATATTTTGATTCTTTTAAAATTGGGTTCAAATTATAAAGATACTAATTTTGAAACTATTTCCGGTCAATGAAAAGTTCATCTCAAAATTTTAAACTCTTGCATATAATTCTATCATGTGTTCTCATTTTATTTTATTTCTATTTATTTTTATCGGAAGCAAAACGAGTGAAAAGTTTTTAAAGTCGCCAATTATTTCTCATTTTTGCTCAAAACAATTTTTGACAACTAAACAGTAAGTTATTTTTGTTTTTTTTTTTTTTTGAGGTACTATTTTCTATCAAATTAATTATTTAATATATATTTATTAGAGTGCGCAACGGATAGCTAACATATGACAAATTTCGAGAACGAAATTTTAAAAAGAGGAAGATTGTGACAACCCAGATTTTTAATTATTCTGTACAATTTATATTAATATTATTTAATCTCAGTTCATAAAATATATAGTTTATTATATTTTATTATGCATAATTTTGTAAAATAATATAATTATTAAAAGTTTAGTGGTCAAAATATAAATAATAATAATATAGATAATATAAATAATAGTAATAATGAGTGTGGTAGTAAAATAAATAATTTATTTTCTGTTGGTATACGATAACATATAATTTAATTAAGAATTAATTTATTTATATAATTATATTAAAATATTAAGTCAAAAAATAATTATCTTAAATATCTATTAAAAATAAAAATAAATCTTTATAATTATTATCGAATCTGCGTATGCTCTCTCCCTCCTATCAAAGGGACGAGGCGTTACCTGGAGAAAAGAAAGAAGAAAGGAAAAGAAGAAAAGAAAGAGAGAAAGAAGGAAAGGAAAGAAAAGAA